TTCATTTATCTATGTGTGAAGTGGGCGACTTTACAAATAGATATATGAAACGGACGAACGAACGAACGAACCCACAGGATATATAGCTAATGTGGGAGTTGTCTTTAAAAAAAAAACTGTATATTACCGTAGGCCGTCACGATTGGAGTGACACCACGACTTAATAGAAAACCGGTGTTACTTACTTAGGAGTAAGTGAGGCTCTCTCCCTGGTTATAGGTGGAAGGACTCGAAGGGTAGCAGCGCACTTGGGACTCTTAGGTTGTAGATGTCCATGGGAGACGGTAGTTACTCATCATCAGGTGACCCATTTATTCCTATTCCAAAAAAAATATATAACCTAGTAGTCAAAATGTTAAATAAATAAATAATATTGTACTACATTCACATAACGCCATCTAGTCCCAAACTAAGCAGAGCCTGTACTATGGGTACTAGACAACTGATATAAATACATAAATACTTTTTTTTTTGTTTTGTAAATACATACTTATTATACATAGAAACACCCAGACCAAATCAAACATTAAATGTTCATGTACACAAATGTTTGACTTGAGCGGGAATCGAACCCGCGACCTTTGGAATAGCAGTCCGTTACACAAACCACTACGCCATTCGGTCGTCGAATATTTAATATCAGTTATATAGTTATATTTAATATCAGTGACCTACTTGTATTTGTTACACCATAATCTTGTAACTACACCTTGTAACAAACATCAAGCTAAAAACTAAGCTTGTAACATCAGCTTATAGAATTTAGGCGGGCCTGTTGGTCTAGTGGTTAGTGACCCTGACTGCTAAACCAGAGGTTCTGGGTTCGATGCCCACCCAAAACAAATATTGTGTGATGATCATTTGTTCTGCGTTTGGGTGTAATTTATCTATAATAATGTCCTCATCATCAACAGCTTTTACTAGTCCACTGCTCGCCATGGCTACTTAGAAAGGAGGTTTTGGCCTACTATACCACGCTGGCCAGACGGGTTGGTATAGGGTTTGTGTCAAGTTTTCCTTCTCTCTGCAGTGCTGTTGTTCTGCGTAGTTTTTTCCCTTAGTCGTTTCTTACGACACCCACGGGATGAATAGGGGTGGTGACACTCTGTATTCTTAATCCGTCATTACACGGACTTATAATAATCTATGTATTTAAAAATATATAAGTATGTTTATCAGCAGTCTGGTTACCGTAGTACATTCTCTGAAATGAAATGATACTTTAATTGCAGAAATATGGTACATGGGCTGTTTATAGTTGTTAGAAGAGAATCACATATTTCGTCAGTCTGTTCTGACATGCAAAATTTGAAACGTACATGCATATTACGACAAAGGATTGATTTAATAACAAACTACTAAGCTCATGTCAATAAACAATTTACATAATGTCAAATATATAATTGCAATGTCAATTTTTTTAATCCGATAATTTATTTCTAATATAGAACACAACATACAATAAAATATTATCAGGTGCTTTTGTATTTATCGCCCGTTTAGGTATTCGGTTACTGAGTATATCATTTTTTCCAAAAGCCATATTTTCAATTTCCTTTTAAATTTCAGTAGGGCCAACGCCTTTATGGTTGGTGGCAAGCTATTAAATACTTTTATACACATATTATAACATTTTTTTTGGTGTAGTGTAGTTCTGGGAACAAAATCCAGGACTAGTCTTTCACTGCCCCGAGTGTGTCTTTTGCCTTTTTAAATAAACTAGGGTCTGCGTAGTCTGGGATCAGACCGACGTGTGTGTGAGACGTTTGAAGTTATTATTATATCATTTTTATTATGGAAAAGGGGGCAAGCGAACAGAAGGGTCACTTGATGGAAAGCGACCACCGTGGCCCAAGAACGCTTGTAACTCAGGCGTCACAAGCTTGCCGTTCTTTGAGGAAGTAGTAGGTCGTATCGATCCTTAAATATCGCAGTCCTGTGTAGATTTTTAATAATGTATTAATTTCAATTGTATGACAAACACGTGTGTTTTAACTTACTAATCTAAACCTATGGACAAAGAATTATATGAAAATTTAAGAACAAATCCACCCAAGCCATATGGAGTCCATAATATGGACAGACGACCAGAGAAAATAACTCGAAAATATTCTATCAAATTGTCTCCGCATTTTTGAAGAAAATTAATAATTAAACTTGCAATACAAAAATGCTACACTTAATAGATACAAAATTGCCACGCCCTTAGAACTAGTTAATTTTCTTTGAATGCCTCGGTGGCGCAGTGGCAGACTATGCGAACGCCGTGCTGAGGTCTCGGGTTAGATTCCCGGGTCGGCACAAATGTTTGGATGATCCGCAAATATTTGTTTCGGAGTTGGGTTGGTTGGGTGTTTCCTATGTATAATATGTATGTATTTACAAAAAAAAAGTGTATAAGTCGTCGAGATATAAGTACTGCGTAGCACTTATATCTCGATGGTATAAGTACTCTATTAGACAATCTAACTTTCATACTACAAGCTTTGCTTAGTTTGAAACTAGGTTTCATTGTGTGTAATCTATTATTTAACATCCTGGGATGTTTAACAAAATAATAATAGAATAATAATAACCTCACACATCTCACACACGGCCGTCTGATCCCAAACTAGGCAGAGCCTGTTTTATGGTAACCAGACTGCTGATAAACATACTTATATATTCTTTAAATACATACATATTATATATAAATTACACCCAGACACAGAACAAATGACCGTGCTCATCACACAATATTTGTCCTGGGTGGGAATCGAACCCACGACCTCCGGCTTAGCAGTCAGGGCCACTAACCACTAGACCATCAGGCCCGTCGGTTGCGGTGCGGTTATTGTTGGTTTATGTGGAGTATCGAACAAAACTCGACATATTCGCGATAGCTTTTAGCATGTTAACTTAACTTTAGCAAATGTGCTATAATACAGGTGGCTACCTATCCTTTCCGAGTGTAAGCGTTATCGGCCCTAATTTGCCACGTTTGTAGATTAAAACCACTAAAAAGTAGCCTACACTTACTGTAATTTTCTGTAGCTGTTCCTATGCTTCGGTGGTTCAAATACAGTTCCGTAGTTCTAATTAAATCTGTACAAAGACAAAAATTGTTTCTGCTGATGCTATGAAATCGATATTCAAGTTGTACCAGGTTTCACGTTACAATAGAAACAGCTGCCAAGAAATTTGTAAGTCATCTGTGTCTCAATCAGGTGAAGAAAGTTAGGATGTCATCTGAGCAATATTCTTTTTTTTGACAACTCCCTCATTAGGAATACATTCTGTGTCACGGGGGACTTTACAAACATACATGAAACGGACACCCAGACTTAGAGCAACAATTTGTGGATCACACAAAGTGTCGTCTCTTGTGGGGTTCGAACCAACAACACTCAGCGTAGTAGGAAGCGGCGTGGCGACCGCTTAAACCACTCCGTGCAGTCGAGTTGCAGTCGAGCAATGATAGCTATCGTGCTTTATTAGGTATCTGACATAACTATTTAGTGGTAATATTATATCTGGCGGTGATTGGAGATACCATATGGATAGACATATCAAGTGCTACCGTGGTAGAGCCATGCTTCGGTAAATAAGGGCCGATACGACCAGACTAATACCAAGGTCTCACAGAAAACCAGCGTTATTTTCTCGTTCCTTTTCACTGAGTGAGTGTGGTAACGGAGCCCGGGGGAGGTCACTCAAACGGCCTCTTGGGTTGCCTGTGATCATGGCCGGCGGTAGTCACTTACCATCAGGTTTCCCATCTACTTGTTTGCCCCTCTATACTATCAAAAAAACTTACAAACTTAGTAGAAGTAGGTATGACAGTAATCTGAAAGATAAATCGCTTACTACGGTCCTATTTTAACTAACTAACTAACTAAAGTAACTTTACTAAAGCAAACTTAAAATCAAGAGGATTTTATTTTCCAAATACTTCTATTCACGGTACAATTGTTATACGATCACAATAGCGAATTTAGCCACCCATCCTAGACTATTTACCTTTCTAAGTAGAGGATGTTGATAAAAAAATGTATCTTAGTTTACAATAAGCGAGGTTTCATGTTTATATTATGGTTAGTTATGAAAACAAATCTCACCACGGGCATAGGTGACCTCATAATGTAAATATGTTTGCATGCGCCGATAGCTGTTTGAGCACTAACAATAACATTGATGGTAACTAGTACTCCGACGCTATGAGCTGGGTGGTGGGCTGAAAATCGTACTTACAAGGTACACCAAGGTAGGTAGAATTACCTTTAATGTACCTACTCTGTTCATTGTTATATCAGCAGGCCATTTAAGCTCTGTAAATCCCAATAGTTTAATAGCGGGTGTTAAGGGTTTATTTGTGTGTTTTTCAAGATCAATAGTTTTAAAGATTTTATGGTTGATAATCCATTTTTGCGAGAAGCCGAAAATCGAACGAAGTGGCGTGCAATAGGACAGGCCTTTGTCCAGCAGTATTCACAATAATTAAGCTTCGATTATGAATTAATGCCTTTTTGAAATTACAATTCTTATTGCGTCCATAAGAATTGGTGTCAATAAATACTGACCTGTCAAGACGTTCTGTTGAACATGAGGTTTGTTCTATGGCTGTCTTTCGTCTACAAATGAGTTTTTCGCCTATACATAAGTTGTTTTATTTTCCCGACTCGTTCTGTTAATTTCATAACTTTAAAAGACAGATTTTAATATAATTATACGTATATAAATATGTATATTATGTGCATCTGAGATCTAAAACTAGCAGTACATCCTACTTCATAAAAAATGTATTTAGATTCGGATGTGCTTTTTTAGTTTATCTGCATTTACGTAGCCTATGTTGTCTTTGTAGAAAATGTTGAAATACGGTGCTTTTTTAGGAAAAAAAACGCCGTGTGAAGTTCTGAAATCCGGGCATTGATTTTTATACACTAATTTATCAAAGGTCCACTAGTCTATATTTTACGTAAATTATCAATTTTCAATAACAATTTTATGTTTGTTCACAGGGTCCGGAGTCGGCACTGAACTCAAACCCGGGTGGCGCCGCGAAGCCGCCGCTCATCAACTCATTCGAGCTGGACCGGTGTCTGGAGCGGTGAGTGTATATTATATCTGACTCTCTTACCCACACTATTTTGTCTACGTTGACCACCCTAAGAGGGAAGCAACTCTTTCGTGCAGAAGACTGCAGTTAAGACCTGTTAATACTGTTTTTATGACTGAGACAACTTGGTAACGATAGAATGGTTGATAATGTAGAAAAGGGTGGTTGCTATGAATGTTTTCGACTGAAAATCGTGAATGGTTAGCATTAAGTGGGCTATACATCTGGATAAAAAAAAAACACACCATGAAGACACACGTACACAATGGAAGCGTCTAGTCAGAAGTATTCTTACGTTGGTAAAACATACAAACACAAATGCCTAAGTTCACACTTAACACTAGTCTTAGAGAATTTTGCCTCACATACGTAATAGGCACGTGTACTGGACGTAGTCACAGTCAGCCTATAACCACGTCTAATGCAACCTGGTGCAAACGTGAAGTAATTCAAAAGCATGTAACACGAAATCGCTTTATTCCAAGACTATCCATAATTATATATTCTGTGTGGTGACGGATTAAGAATACGGATTGTCACCACCCCTATTCATCCCGTGGGTGTCGTAAGAGGCGACTAAGGGAGCAAACTACGCTGGACAACAGCACTGCAAAGAGAAGGAAAACTTGAAAAAAACCCTATACCAACCCGTCTGGCCAGCGTGGTGTAGTAGGCCAAAACCTCCTTTCTAAGGAGAGGCCTATGTCCAGCAGTGGACTATTAAAGGCGGTCGTTTTTTGTCATTTTGTAATAACTAATATCTACTGAACTCAGTGAGCACTGTTACAATACGAGTATACTAGACATTTTGATGTAACTATACTCATTAATACCCGTCGCATGCATTCGCCTTTACAGCCTCTCCTATACTACAATCTCAGCCCCGTTTCTTCGGTATCCTTTACACTATCTCTTTCGTACTACCCATTTTCTCACCCTAATAATTTACACTTTTCCTCTGTGTGATCCACAAATTGTTGTTTTGAGTCCAGACTCAGAACAACAATTTGTGGACATTACATGACATGTCCCCCGCGACATAGGAATATATTCCTAATGCAGGAGTTGTCTTTTTAAAAAAGAAAAGAAAGAGATAAGATAAGACTCATCTGAAAACGATAACATTGCACACACGGCTGGCCATAACAGAACCTAGCCAAAACCAATTGCAATATTCCACATTGCCCGGCGCCAAATGACATTGGACAGAGGATTGATGACGCTCACCGTTATGATAAAACTATACTCATGGTATTAAAGAATTAGAACTTCTCCCACATTTGTTTACTATTGCGAGTACAATAGTGAGTAACATAATGTCTGTAGTTGCTTGCTGGGTGATGTCATCTGTACCGTGTATGTCTATTGCGAAAGTTTTAAAACGTATTCAGGTGTAGTATTTCTCCAAAATGAATGGGGTCACTACGAATGACAGCAAATATATGCCGTAAGTTCTTGTCAAAGTTAGTTTGTTTAAATGAGCATTAGGTAGGTGGCCATAAACAGAGAATCATTTTAAGAAAATTTAGTGAATCAAGGGCTTTAAATTTGGAAAACTTAATGGCTAGTGCAAATAGAAAAAAAAATTAAAATATATATTATGTTGCCTCGAAAATACATATTAGTATGTATGTGTAGACCTAATTATTGTACTGAAAATCTAACACAAACTTTTCAATTTTACTGAAAATTATTAAGTAAAATTTGAACGAGGAGGGTCCAATTCGAACACCATCAGGACTAGTGGTGGTCGCATTAAAAGGATGGTGCAAAGAACTGGAGTAGACTGAAGACTGACTGAAGACTTATTAAGTGGGCTTCCGTAGATGTAAAACTTGTGCCATATTGGTTAGATATCTCCTTATAATGGATCGAAAATATGACCAAAATGATAATAACTATAATAAGTGTTTAAAGTGTGTGAAATATTGAAGTCACCCCAGTATTCAAATGTATTTTCTTTACAGGGAGGAGTCCGGCAGGTGGGGCGGCGAGGCGGCGCGGCGGCGCCGGCGCAGCTCGCCCCCGCGCCGCGCCTCGCCCCCTCGAGATCATGAACCGCTTGCGCTTGCCCGCGTACGTACTACACCTATGTCTAACGTAAGAGAAAATATTTCTTTTATCAAATTTTGAACTCCTAAACAACTGATAAGACAGACAAATTAAAGTAAACATCACCTAAACAAATTACTCACTTACAAATAGATGTATAATGGATTCGAATTACAACATATGGCTCTCTTTAACAATTTCAAATTGTCACAGGCATCAGCCCCTACTTCTCCAACTGGAGGTTCAGCGCACTCGAGCCCTGCGCCAGTGTCTCCTGCAGGCAGCGCGGGCGCTGCTGCAGGAGCTCGCTCCCCACTACCGCTGGTGGCACCAGACCTTCTGGCGATGCAACTACTTGACCAACACACGCAGCTGCAGGCGTTAATGAAGCAACGCCTGTTCCATCAGCATCACATGCAAAAGCAGGTACTTATAACTTAAAAGGATTGATTGTTCAAAGAATTATTTGGTAAGACTTCTATTAAGGTTTTTGGATGTTGTTGATTCCATTCCAAAATAAGATAAATAAAGCGTTGACAGTTCGTTATTGCAATTTATATTATAAACAGATTCCAATTTAAAACAATTATGCAAATCTATGCCGTCTTGATTTTATAGCATTTGTTGTCTTAAAGAACTTCACGTGCGTGGGAGTAAATAACTAAAACATGAAGATGATTATACAAAAGCGTAAACAAGGTAGGTTTAATTTATGACTAAATCTAGAAGATGGATATAGAACAAGTTTTGCAGGAAAGGTTCTACTTCGAGTTGTTCTTAGTCTGCTTTTTGGCTTATTCAAACATTTTGAAGCAAGCTATGATATTAGTCACAACTAAGAACTAGTTGAAGATAAAGCTATAGTGGTAAATTGAAAGAATCGAATTGGTTTATTTAATGTAATGTAATGGAAAAGTATTTACGTGTTCGTTATTATTGGTGCAGCACATGTCTTCGGAGGCAGCGAAGCGACAGTTGGAGCAGTCGCGACTGCAGGAACAAATCAACCTCAATCTACTGTCACAGTCGCATCTTCCTCCACCCGATACGTCGCCTGGTAAGAGATTTTTAAGGACTGAAGAACTTCTGCTCGTAGTGTAATTCCAAGCCACTTAATATATTAGCCACAATACAACCACTTATTTATTTTGAAACTTTTCTTGAGTTCGTTATGTTTTAAAATTTTGCTTCCAAATACAATAAATATATTTTTTTTAAATACCTGAAGCAATAAATTCAGGACCCAGAGACACCTGAAAATTTCAGAAATAATGCTAAATTAATTAAATAAAATATGTTTAATATGTACTTAATTATTTATTATCGAGTTGAGGTCTTGGCTTAATGATGGCCACAGCTAATGTTCACGTCTGAAACGGTAGTCCTTCACAACCAGTCCAAAAATCATTCCTCGCACAATAATTATATGTACAATATTTTTGTAAATTTTAAATTAGACTGTAGTACCATCATGTATAACTGCTCTTAGAAATAAGAAATTTCATCAGCGTGCTGCCTCCTCATAATCTAGCTCTATCCTCAGGTTCTCTGCAGCAACAGCTTGGAGCTCAGCAGCAGCAGCTAGTGCAACAACTGCAGGCTGTTCAGCGTCAGTACCTGATGCATGGGCCTCTATCAGTGCCGCCTAATGCGCCGCCAGGTCAGTTGGACATGGCAGGTTAGAAAACTTCTATTTATGACACATTTAGATTAAGGCTTAGTATCATGAGAATAATATGTTAAATATTTCGGATTAAATCAATTGTAGATCTTTACCATTGCATTAAAATGGCTGAAAGTGCAGGAAACTCTTAAATAAAATGATGAGTCAGCTATTAAATCAAAATACGATGTTATTAACTGTCTAGTAGATATATCGTTGATACAATAAACTGGTTCTTTTGTAGGTTTGATGCTATGGGGCAGTGAGATGGAGGAGCATCCTCTGTTCGGGCGTGGTGTATGCAAGTGGCCCGGCTGTGATGCACTTGCTGAAGACTATCAAGCATTCCTCAAGTAAATCTTTTTTCTTTTAAGAACAATAACATTATCTATTATAAAGAAATAGCATGATTGTACTTATCAGAGAATTGTATGCAAGTTACGAGAAATTTTAATAAAGTTCCATGATATACAGGCATTTGGAAGCTGCTCACACCTTGGACGATAGATCAGCCGCTCAGGCGCGGGTCCAGATGCAGGTGGTCGCCCAGCTCGAACTGCAGCTGCGACGTGAACGTGACCGCCTCGCTGCTATGATGCGACATCTGCATGCCGCCAGGGACACCACCCACCATCCAGCTAAACATCCCCATGGTAATGCCTACTACTGTATTAGCTGTACTAGCTTTTCCCTGTGGTACCGCCAGCATATGTGTCGGTTATAGTGGTCAAAAGTAGCCTACGTCTTTCCTCAAGAATCGTACTATCTCCATACCAAATTTAATCTCAATCGGTACAGCGTTTATTAATTCCCCATAAAAAAATCCATCTCTTTTTCACCTTCTTGAAGAATGACTTATAGGATAAAAGCTATCATATATCCTTTCCCGGGACTAAAACTATCTTTATACCAAATTTCATCTAAATCGGTTCAGCGGTTTAAGCGTGATAAGGCAATATACAGATAGACAAACAAACACTTTTGCATTTATAATATTGGTATGAATAATTGTAACAAGTCATTTACACACTGACTCTTCGTGACTTTGTTTCACAAATTTGGACCAAGAAAGTCCTTTTCCAAGTTGATTATAAAATATCGTTATATTTTAGTATTTTACAGTTACATTGCAGTTTTTGTGCTATTTGACCATTATATGACATCACTAGACCAGGCATTAGTCAAGACACAGAATCAAAAAGATCAAAAAGAAAAAAAATCCTTTATCATACTCAGATTTTAGAATCACAGTTTTCTTTGGCAAAGCGCTTTAAAAAAGCGCTTAGCTTTTTGGCAGTCAATTATGATTTATGAGTAAAACTAAGGTTATATTACTAGACGCGATTGAATAATACTACTTGATAAATTGTTAGGTGGGGCTGCTGAAGGTGCTTCTCCTGGACCAGTGCGACGTCGTGTTTCAGACAAGTCGGGCGTTGCTATAGCCGGAGGTAGATAATAAATTTGAAATACATTCACGCAAATTAAGGAAAAAACATATTTTAGTGAAAATTTGATAAAAAATAATGATTTATGATATTAAAATTATAATTTCTGTCCGTAAGGTCTTCCCTATATGCTCGAAAGAGCTGGATTAGATGTGCAACAAGGTAAAAACAATGACTAAGAAATTAAAGTGTGAAAACAAAATTATTTTGTGAAATCAAATTGCATTAATGTAGGATTTATATAAAGTAAAAGTAATTGTATTAATTTAATCCTTAACCATTTCCAGAGATTCAACGCAATCGTGAGTTTTACAAATCTGCGGATGTCCGGCCTCCCTTCACATACGCTTCTCTCATTCGACAGGTTAGTTGAATGTAGCTTTTGATACAAAAAAGTTTTGAAATAAGTGTGATTTATTTGCTGTTGTTTAAAAAAAGAACACTAAAATTATTTCTTTGAACGGAATAGAATCGTTTATAAGTAAATATTTAGTTTTCAGTTAAATCAATGCCATGTTGTATTATAAGGCGCTTTGGAGTGCCTCAGGGCAGTATATTAGATCCAAGTTGATTTATTATAATTTGTATTCTATTTTTCGCGTGTTACATTTGTAAATAATTGACCTTTATGGTATTGCAAAACAAGAAACTCATAGAAAACTTTCGTATTTTTCAGGCTATAATAGAATCTCCGGACAAACAGTTGACTTTGAATGAGATTTACAACTGGTTTCAGTCTACATTCTGTTACTTCCGGCGAAATGCAGCTACTTGGAAGGTATGTCTTAATTTTTTTATCAAAAAGTAAAAAGAAGACCGAACATTAATATTAAATTGCATAAAATGAAATGAAGAAAAATGGTGTTGTACATTAAGTTTTTAATTGACAAGATGAATAATGATCTTGTGTAGAGCTAGATGAACTAATAATTTATTTTTGGATTAAACACCGATTGCAATGCAAAGAGACAAGGTAATCTAGTCATGTCTTTATTATATTTATTCCCGTAGTTATAAAACAATCTTCAATGAAATTATTTTTGGCAACTTTTATCTCCTTTGATTTTTCAATAGTAATTACCGTTTCATCTAAAAATAGAGAAGTTTAATTTGAAGATTGATTTAATTTATATTACTTAAGATGCTTCTAGTTTTAAGTGAGAACGATATGTGAGCTATACGTATCGGTATAATGTCAACGATGCGCTATGAAATTAACAAATCTCGACGGTATCCATTATCGAAATATAAATATAGAAAGATATTACACTGTCGTATTTAGAGGTGGTAAATATAAAGTCGAACGTAAAAGCGAGCGGTCAGACGATAAACGGAGAGTAGTGGTAGCGAGAGGCGGCACATAGCGCATCGTGCGGCGGTATAGCGGAGAGCGAATAAAGAGGTGGTTGAGTGGGGGACAGAACGCGGTGCGTCACAACCTCTCGCTGCACAAGTGCTTCATGCGCGTGGAGAACGTGAAGGGCGCCGTGTGGACCGTGGACGAGGTGGAGTTCTACAAGCGCCGCCCGCAGCGCGCCGCGCACACGCACCCGCCGCCGCTGCACGCCGGGTACGGCCTGCGCCTGCCATTGAGACCGAGCTCTAGCGCCACTCACTACACTCCACACCGACACTGCACACCGACACTGCTCCGAGAGACACTATCGTTTACATTTTTCACACATTTCGAAAACAAATAATCTGTACTTAAGATTTCACTCCACAAAAATCTACTCTACGATTTTACCCGATATCCGCTTTTTACTTTTTAAATACTTTACATTCACCAAAAAAAAACTGCACGTTTCAGAACAGAATTTTACACACCATACTGAGCACGACTTCACGGTGGAAAACGGACGCATGATTTATACACTTGTACAAATACGTTGACACCGTTGTCGCTATAACATTTGTATGAAGCCTACACATGTGACTAAAACCTCAAAAAAACTCAACTCTATTTTTAACACTACAATACTAACCATACACATACAAACTAAACTTACAATTTTTACTTTTACATACACATACATACTAAACTTACAATGTTTATTTTTTTACTTTAAAACTCTACGAATAACACAACAAACAAATATTTATACTTTCCAAGGACCGTTACAAAAACTAATTACCAAAAAAACTTAAACACAATACAATAAGTCAAATACTAATTAAAATCATAAACCACAACAAAATACAAAGTGAATACTAAAACACAGCAAAGATACTAACTCAAATATAACACATATACTAAAACACAGCACAGATACTAACTCAAATATAACACAGATACTAAAACACAGCACAGATACTAACTCAAATATAACACAGATACTAAACAAACACAGACTTTCTCAAAATTGTATGTGCTGTAAACTCAAATATTTAATAAATATCCTAATACAGAACCAAGATATCAGAACTTCACAAATAAATACTAAACATGTGTCTCAAAGTATAACATGAAATTTTACATCTTTCATAAAACCACTTGACTTTTCAACAACACAAAACATTACTTTCAAAATTCATAGAAATTACTAAACATTTTTTACTACTCGTACCAACTGGATGCACAAATCAATGAATATCTGAAAATGACGATATGAATGCTAACTACGTCCTTACAATATTTAAACACTGCTCAAACACACCATACATAACTTCAGTACATTTTAATCTTCTCTTAAATATTTTCTATCTAACCTAGCGGTGTATCTAACTTTTATTGTGTAAATAAACGTTTCATCTCGTTTCAGATTTGGATATGTAATTATTTGTGTAGTGGGCTCTTAACTATTGTGAGTGACGTCATAACGTGTTCGTTATGACGTCACCAATATGTGAGGTCATGTAAATTGTTTTATCGTATTTAGGTTTTATGTGTGTGTACGTGGGTTTCGGCACAACGGTCAATAACGTTTTCTCGCTTGCCTATTAAACTCCTATCCCGTCGATCCTTCTGGGTTTCTGGGGCTGTCTCCTCCTGCATGGTACGATGTTCCGTTCCACGACGATCTTTTGCACTTTCATTGTTATTGTTTTCCTTTGACGAATCACTATTCTTAACAATGAAAGCGCAAACCGTAACTTAAGCATTACAGATATTTGGTTAACCACTCGTATAATAGATATTTAAACGGAGATGCAATTATAGAACGCTATCCGGACGAACCTGTCACTGCACAAATGTTTCGTGCGGTACGAGGATGACTTCGGCTCGTTCTGGATGGTGGACGACGCGGAATTCGTGAAGAGACGCCACCTGAGCCGGGGCCGGCCGCGCAAGTACGAGCCGGCCCCCGGACACCCCGGGCCCGCCGCACACAACCCGCCACAGTAAGGGCGCCGCCCATTCACGCGACCGTCCAACGACTCTGCTTAGTTGGGCCTTTACAGATGTTCATGATGTATCTTAGTATTCACTTATAAACTACTTTTATGTAAACTTAGAGCTCAAAGATAAACTAGTAGTATTTTGGGTAAATAATAAAATCATCTATCGATTATGAACATTTAAACACAAAAAAGGCCGACTAAGAACACACTATAGTCTTAAATATTATTAGAGTAGGAAAGCAAGCAAGCAAATATCTGACCACAAAACTGAACAAAATATTTTTGATTTCCATTACATGTTTACAATTAAACGTGAATCGTTGGACGATCGCGTCCAAAATAGAGTTATTGTATGTGAAATGAATCGAACCGAGAATTACCAACAATTAATGAGAAACGGGTACTTCTCGGTAATTACACACTAGATTTGATGTTTCTGACCATTATTGTAAAGTGTATCACCGTGTAAGCTTAGATTAATTCAACATGTCATGTTAGTCTGTAACTAGACACGTGATTGTTTATAATATAGAAGATTCTGAACATACATGTGTATGCTTATATTGCTTCCTTTAGAATATTACATTTTGTCGCAGACATCGATAAAATGCAATACTTAGTTCAAAAACTTGTTTTACAATTTGGTATGATACTCGTAAACCATAGTCAATGTTAACAGTTGGGTACTTACAATGATCTTCTTGCGTATAGTTTGCCAGTAAAAATTATTATAAAAAACTTAGAAAATGATGATCAACACTTTAAACTCATCTATGTACCTAACTAAAATAAAAAGGTCATCTAAGTAAGTAATATAAGCACACACTAGTATTATAGACTCCTAGAGTGCGAAGCTATAACCAATTGTTTTGCAATAGTTTTTAACATCACATTACAACAAATAACTTGTTTAATAAATTAGCTTAAACCATATTTTGCTACTGTAATTACAAGGTATATTTTAATTTACACCTGACGGTACGCCGGGACTATATCGATGGATTATAAACGATGTTTGTTTTTACAATGACTTGCATGTATTGCATCTAATACGATATGTTGTAAAGGATCGTCGTTGGATACCCAAGTAAGATTAAATATAACATTTTAATCTTTTACTATTCCTAATCTTGAAATACTTGTGCACGTTATCCCTCAGGTAAGTGTGATGCTTTTTACGCTTCGCTTGTGCATTTTTGTCGCATGATAGAATAGTATTTTTCTAACATTGTTTTTTTGATAAGCTTGCCTTTTTTCCATTTTCTATTTTTATTCTATTTATCTTTCTCTATCACACACACATACACACACACTCAATGTCACACTTGCACATATTAATTGGACTTTATATTCAAAATTATACACTCTACAAAATAAACACAAAACATATATCACTATAAATAGTCTTCATCGTTATAATTTAATTTGGAAGAGGTCTGAAATGGCCGGGGTATGATTTTTAATATTTTATTTTATTAAATAATTAGCATCATTAAAAATATAATTAGTAACGAAGTTTTGAAATAAACAATATTTTATTAAAGTAATTAAACTATTTCTGAAAGTTAATCATTTTGGACAGATGTGCAAATATTATAACCGAGTTATATTATCACAGGTTTATGGGAGCTCAAAGTCCACCAATGATGACCAGCCCTCATGGATATAGCGAAGCACTAAAGCGAAATCTTCAGGTAAGTTTTAAAATACCAGAATTGTTCTATTTCTTTTGTATAAATGTATGGAAAGACTACAATTATAACTTTTTTAAACAGGGTATGATGGAAGATTGCAACTTGTCGTATATATCCGGTGAGGATCATATGATGCAGTCAGAAGATTACCCTTCCTCTCACGAGGACTACAGGTAAAGATACTAATTAATACATAACTCTCGTAACATATTTTTAATTTTGCCAACCCACATTTTCAAGAGTAAAAGCGGGACCAAGTGATTTGTGGAAGGATCTAGAAATTATATTGAGTGTATGTTTCAAGCGGTTATATTGGGCACCTTCAAATATGGATTAAATGTGATCCCGCAATTGCGGGTCCTTTATTAGGTTCAATATTCCGTGTGCTAGATAAATGCTACCTAGAAGCATAATTCAGTTATGGAAATTACACTGGTTTGGCATTCGATTTTAGCGACATTATAGTACAGACCATTTCATCAGGGTCCGTATCTAAAAGAACAACAAATGAGTGTAGTTCCGTTTCTCGAGATCTTTGATGAGGGTATTAGGTTGTAGGGTTTTTATATGGTCAACAAGATCCTTTTCGACATTAACCTCATTAACAGACGGAGAGTAGGTTTTGGTAGAAGAGAATAGCTCTGTTGGTGTACGTGTACTATTACAAGAATCATCCGTGATTGCCATCTTGGCTTTCGAGATACCATTATAGGATTTATTATTTCTAGCCGACCACCAATGATGAACGGTTACGGCAGCAGCAGTTCGTCCCATGACGTAAAGGCTGAGGATCTGACCAGTGACGCGCAGGATGTCAAGCCTAATATCTACGCGCTTAAGAATGAGATGCAAGCATCTGATTACTCTAACAAAGGTAAAGCTTTAATGATTTTAAATAATTATGATGTAGAATGACATGAAGGAATTTGTAGAGGTAAGTGGATGTAATAAATAAAAGAAAAATTATCTGTACCTGATATGGCTTCGTGTATTTTTTTTTTCTGTACTCTGAACAATTTTAATAACTGATTCAAGAGATCGTCTTGCTAAGTTTTATTACGTAAACGATCATCGAATGTTCAAAAGATTTAAAAAATAATATACCGAAACATGAAATAGTTTTAAAAACATTCGTATCAAATTTCAAAAAAAGAAAGATTCTATTTTAAAAGTTATTCTTTAAAACTCTCCGTCTTTTAAATTTTTGTTTTTAGTCATATATTTTTTGGGTTGTGTTTAAACAAAAACACTGCAAACGATTTTCTTTTTGAATTGTTTTTTTAAGAAATTTGTAGGTAGTCATAATTTTTAATTTCTATGAAGAATTGATCATGTAATATAAAAATGAAACAATATTCTTTATTAATTATATTGTATGTGAATATACCTTTGTACTTAAAACAACTACCTACCTATAATAATATTTCCATTTAAAGAAAAATGATTTTCAATTACCTTCCCCTATTTAAAATATTCGAACACCTAACTTCACTGTTATTAATTTACAGATTATTCAAATTCCAACAAGGAGTCATCCAGCAACCGCTCCGGGGAGACAAGTCCTTACGATGACTATCCCCGCCCTGAGGACAGGTACCGCGCCTCCATGTCTCACATTAAAGATGAGGCTGAGAATCTGTCCCTCAATGAACAGAGATCTGACAAATAAGCTGCCCTGTATGCTGTGGAGATCAGCCCTTACTAGAGGGAGTCTTCTATCTTCCTTGGAGTATGGCCACTCATGGTAGTCTGACATAGAAGGCATCATGGCCGTGCAATGTGTCAAGTGTATTGTGCGCAAATGTGGACAGAAAGTGTAAGTGAGTAACAGACACATTCGAATATTTGGCGTTTATTATCACAGTATATAATACTATATTAATTACGGGTGTAGATCTATTTCAAGTTATTAGAAATGGTGTTCTAGAAAGTGTAATGTGTTCACTGTTGGAAGTTTTTATAATAAAACGAAAATATGGACGATCTCGTTATGAGGAATTGTAAGTTAGAGTTAACCAAATATTTTTTGTTTTATTTTTTAATTGACCCGGTTTTAACGGGGTTTTCAAGTATTATAGGTTTTACGATTTTTTTTATTATTAATTTAGTTTTCTCTTAGGTTTGGTAGCTGAGGTAGTTCTACTTGTTAGTAATATTTAGAATGTAAGTGTTAGAAGGATTTTAGAAGGAACGGATTGCGCAAATAATCATCGATCCAACGATAAAATAACCTTAAAAGGTTCATATCAATATTTAAATAAAAAAATATTTAATCATTATTTGTAATATACAAGTAATAAGAACAATAAGTAGTAACTATTGGTATGCTAAAGTAAGTTAAATAATTAGACGCCAAGCGTTTCAGTTCAATTGTCACACAGATTTATTAAAACTAGTAAATGAGAATCATCACGAAAGGAAATGAAAAGAAAAAGAACTGATGAATTGTTACGTGGGGAAGACACACACACACACACAAATACACACACACAGACAAAAGGAAATTTGGTTGGTTTCCCAATTGCGTCGAGTGTGGAGAAAGGGAAAATGAATTTTCTAAACGTTCGCTTTTATTGTGAAGCAAAGAGATGTGTGTGTGTGTGTGTGTGTGTGTGCGTGTGTCACAATGTGCAATATCACATAATACGAATGGCTTTTGTCATCTAGTTATTATTAAATCTATTACATTTCAGACACATTGAAAACAAATAGATCTCAAGATTTTTTGTTTCAAAAACACAATCCATAGACCGCATTATTATTTTTTTACATAATTTTGTGATTAACGATCTGATGTTAAGTTATATTTTTCGAAGGCGTGCCATCATTTTTAATGGTACTATTTTTTTTTATTAGTTTGTGATTCCATGGAATTGTTTTTAGTTTAAGCTTAGAATGTAAATATTTATCACGAATTGTAAAAATAAATCTCTTTTGGAAAAATGATAAAATATTTAGACGAGTGTAAACTTAAATATTGCATATTAAATCGTTCATGTTGTAGAAAAAAAATATTAGAAAAAATAATACTTAGTAGTTAAACAATTTTCACTGTACTCTGGTAATTTTTATTTTCGTTAAAATTTATCTACTTATAGATTTTCGTGCATTTTTCGATTTCGCATTTAATATAAATATTTTTAAGTACGTGTTATGTTCAATTATGTTACTTTTTCGATAATGAAAATGTCGAAAAGGGTAAAAACAACCATATCACACATTTATGTATACTTAACGTAGAACTGTAAAATGACTATATAAAATGTATATTCGACTTCGCAGTAACTTTGGAATTAAATAACGTATACATTAGCAACGTAGGTGTCACGTACGTTCAAATTATTTGCAAAATTTGAATTTGTAAACGCTAAAGGCCAACTTGCACGCAAACACATACACGCTCACACGTTTTTGACAAGTTTGACGCATTTCATACTGTGCAGTAAATCCTCTTACAAGTATTTATAATCATAAAAATCTCAGGAATCAGACTGAAATTAAGTAAATATTTTATTCCTATGACACATTTTGTTAGAAGCTTACAACCCCTTTGGAATTTGAATATTTTTAATTAGATTTTTTTATGGTAGAAGTAGATAGAACAAAGAATGAGTTATTAATATTAATTAATATAAAAATAATCATTTCTAAGACATAGCTGATTGATTGTCAATAATCTGAAACTTCTATGTGGTCATAAATCTCTTCTAAACCGAAAAAAGTTTTTAACCAATCACCGTCAGAGAGTTCTTTACTCATGAGCAGTTTCTATATGAAAGACAAAACCGCACTGTCATCATTTGGAAAAATAATGTCAAGAAGAACATTCCCTGAAATCTTAAAAACCCTCCCCCCCCCCCCCCCCCCTCCCTAATCAAAAAAGGACAGCAAACGCACTTATATCTGATTCGCAGGCAGCTGTCCACGGTAGTCACTTATCATAAGGTAAACAAGCACGTTCTAGATACTTCTACTTTCCCACACTACGAGTAGGGACCGATTGCGGATTTACTGTCAAAAACGTGTGAATTAGACTATGGTATAGAAGAATTATAGAAAAAAATTAGAATCAAATGTATTTGCTTGCGAGACCCATCCGCCTATAATGTATACAGCCATGAAACCACCGATACTTTTTTTTTTAATTTCAAGACGTTTTAAAATACCATAGTCTGACTAATAATTTATAATTATCTTTTCACACGCATTCGTATCAAAAACCATCCAAAAATATTTATTTATTTGTTCAAAATAAGTAAAGAAGACTTTTAATTATGTTGTATGAAATTACTTGAGTTCATTTTACAATAAGTTTTTTTAAATAATTTGTTTTTTGTTAAAACAAAATATGAAGTTATTAATATTTACTATAAAATATTTATTGGGTATTTATACACTATTCGCCTCTTATAACTCACCGTGTGAATTATTTAATAGCCTTCTTAAAATTCTGACATTCAAATTTTCCCTGTAAGTGAGTAATTTTAGTGCAGGTTCACTTATGCAATGCTTAGCTTGATTTAAGTAATAAAAACTGAATATGAGTTGAGACCCTTCGTTCAACAGTGGACAGCGATAGTCTAGTGACGATTAAGTGTTGAAATTTTGACACGGGGAAAATTGTTTAGAGGAAAAACAATTAAAAAAATATTTTCTTCTTAACTACATTATTATTGAATGATATTGTTAAGCAGCATTTCTATCCACAAAGGGGTCAAATTAAAAACAAATATTTGTATTCATACGCGGTTTTAACTCCTGGAGCGCTTTGGTAACCGTAGTTTACCGCCATTAGACTACACGGATGGCGTTGTGGTAGGCTATGATTGTGAGTGTTGTGGGTCCGATCCCCACATGGGACAACACTTTGTGTGATCTTCAAATTGTTGATCTGAGTCTGGGTGTTCTGTCCGTTTCGTGTATGTTTGTAAAGTCCCCCGCGACACGGGATATTTGCCTAATGCGGGAGTTGTCCTTATTAATGAAAAAAAAAAGTTTGTCATTTAGATCATAAAAACAAGAATTAATCTCATTTACTCTGTGGTGATGCAAATAGAATATCTACTCAATATAACCAAAAGCATTTTTAAATATATACTTTTAATAGATAAATATTTTAAACGTGGCCATTTTGTGAATTGGGTCTTCAGAAAAGAGAAAAAAGAAGTAAAATAGAAGAAGGTGTAAGAGATAAGGGGCGAGTGGTGCCAACATTATAAAACGAATACGTGTGAAGCTACTTAACAGTTTAAGTACAATGTACATTTATAGTTTTTATTAAACGTTGCACGAACTAACAGCAGATAACATTGGAATTGATACAAGTTTTATTTATTATTATGACATTATTTTTTTATATTGTTTAGAATTAAAAAAAATCCCTATTTTGTTACAATCACACTGTATCGCATCTAAATCCAATATTTGTTAAGTGGTTTATCAAATGTTGCACTGTCTGCAATATCGTATGCGAATTAGTGTGGATTTGTAGGATTCAGTGTGAGTCAGTCCTTATGTTGCGATCCATTTTACGCAGAATGCCAGACCGAGTGCTTATTGTCTGTGGCGAGCGCCAACACGCATATTTTTATTGATCATTGTAAATTATACTTACTTAGTGTTGTATTAAACGAAATCATTACAATTATAGTATGTTTTATTGCATCTGTGTGGTGACTGATTAAGAATACGGCATGTCACCACCACTATTCATCCCGTGGGTATCGTAAGAGTCGACTAAGAGAACAAACTGCACAGGACAACAGCACTGCAAACACAAGGAAAACTTGAAACAAACCCTATACCAACCCGTCTGGACAGCGTGGTATGGTAGGCCAAAACCTCCTGTCTAAGGCCCACGTCCAGCAGTGGACTATTAAAGGCTATTGATGTGATGTGATGATGATAATTGAATCTGGTTCAAGGTTTCTTATAGATGAGGTCGATAAGTCATAACATTATGTCCTTATTTTTATTAGGAACTGAGTTTCGCCCGTGGCTCCTTTTGTATATCAATCAAAAACAATACTTTTCTGGAGGAATGAAAGATATTTAAAGTTTCTCCCTGTAACTACCCTTGGCAACATTTAAGCAAAATTTTATGATCATGGGTTTGTGTAAAAGGGTAAAAAATGAACAAAATTACTTTCACATTTGCAATATTAGTTAAAATGTAAGCTTATTTCGGCTATTTTACTGGTTAGTATCTTGACTGCTAAGACAGGGGTCGTGGGTTCGATTCCCAACCAGGACAAAAATTACAGCCTACTGAACTTATATACATGTATTCTTATGTTCTTCAAGTTGATAGTTCCTAATCCTTACTAATTGTGGTGATATACAGACAGCCAGTTTCTCTGCGCATTACATCGCGCAGGCGCGCGCAAGCTCGGACAGTTGCTATAGGATGTTTGAAAAGAAAAAAAAACAACAAATTTTGACGACTAGCTATTATGTTATTTATTTGAGGAAATATATAATTTTAACAGACTTAATTATTACCGCTAATTATGTGGGGGATAGTCACATACCCTCATATCTGGTGACTATTAAGTAATGCGAAAGTAACTCTGTCTGTCTGTCACGCTTTCACGGTTAAATCGCTAAACCGATTTTAATAAAATTTTGCATGGAGATACTTTGATTCTTAAGGAAGGATGTAGGCTACAT